TTACGTGAAATGTTTGAGCACAATAGACGAGACGAGCGAGAGTCAGGAAAGCATTGCCATCGTTGCTGTTGTTGATATTGCTGAAAAATTAAATAAAATAATGATGCGCTCCCATTTTTTATAATGTGTAATTATACATACATATGTACATATGTATGTATATTTGCCTTGTATATATATATAGTTATGTGTGTATATATATTGTGATTTCATGCAACACATGGAAATCACGCTGCTTGGCCTATGGCCATATAAACAATGCACAATAAATGTGCATATTCATAGTAAAAACAACAACAAAAATAGCAACAACAGCACACATTTGTTTGTCATGCGCTACACTTTGTAGGTTGTTGTCATTAATATTTCTCTCTGCTCGCTCTCTTTCTCTCCGTAGAATTTTTGTTGCTCTTCCATTTCCATGCGGCACATTGCTTCTTTACTCGTTTTTTATTTGTACACACTTTGTATTAAGTTTGTTGTTTATATTTACCCATACATACACACATACTTATTTACTTACATATGGTAAAACATCAAATAAATACAATATCGACTTATATACACACATACATACATATGTATGTATGTACTTGTCTACCGCCACCCCTCTCATATTTTCATTATTATTTCCATTCATTATTTATTAAAAAGAGGAAGCAACTCATTTAGCATTTTCCATCAATTTTCAAGTTGTTATTTTTTTCTTTCTATAATTTATATTTGTATGCATGCATACATATGTACATGTGTATGTGTGTACGCACACATTTGTATAATGTACTAATGTATGTTTATGATATGTACATACATACATACATACATGTGTATGCATGCATGTATTTCAATTGAGCGGCGTGACAATTTTTACAACAATGCTGGTATTGTGGTTGTTGTTATGACAAGCAGTGCTAGGCATATGGCCGCAAAGGGCTGCTCATTAAAAGGTTTGTGTGTTTGTTGTTGTATTAGTCTAGAACTCTGCATAAGTACATTTGTTATGATGATATATGTATTTATATGTACATACATGTATGTACGTGTATACAAACGTACACGTATTATACAAATGTACATACATATGTACATAGTGGCTTTTGACCAAGTGTCGCTTTTGGAGGCTGTTATATTTTAGTACAGTTGTCGTCGCTGTTTAATTAGCCGCAAAAGAAATGCATTTGACATTTGCATAGGTGCAGCCGCCACCACCTACACGGCAACAAGAACAACAACAACAATAGCAATAACAACGCCAGCCAAGCAATGTACCAGCAGCAGAAGCAGGGCTGCCTAAAGGTCATGGGTCAGACAGTTGGCGTTTCTAGAACAAAATCCCTCAGCCTAGGTAAACCAAAAGCCAGCAATTCATTCATTTCGTCAGTCATTCAGTCAGTCAGTCAAGCCAGTCTGTCAGTTTGTCAGCCCGTTTAGCTAGCCATCAAGGAAACTGACAACTGACATGGTCGCAGTCACAGTTGGCGTCGCAGTTGTTCGGTCTCTGGCTTTGTTTTTTGTTTGCTGGTTTAAAAGAGAGAGGGCAGTGTCGGGTGCCTTTTTGCTAATTTTAGCACTCGCAAATATAATATGAATAATAGTAAAAAGAAACTGCAGCCGCACCAGCAACAACACAAACAATAACCAATAAGTAGTAAAAGCTTTGGCACAGAAAATTGAAAAAAAAAAACACACACACACAGAAATAAGAAAATAAACAGTCAGTTACTCGATGATGACAACAAAGCGCAACTTACTCTCCTTCTTCTTTGCCTGTTCTTTACTAAGTCGGTTGTTATTGTTGTTAGTACTGCTGCTTGAAACTGCGCCGTTCATGTGGTTTTTGCTCATCGCTCTCTTTTAAAAATAAAAGCTTAAGCGCAATGCAAAAATTCAAAGAGAGAACGAGAGTGCATGACATGGTTGAATGTTTGTGTGAGAGAGGAGTTACAATGATAGCGGCGGCAGAGAAGTTTGTCATGCATCGGCATTTTGTTTTTGTTTTTATTATTATTATTGCTATTATTTGCTAAGGCAGAGAGCGCCAAGCAACAATGTAAAATATGTAAAAAAAGACCACTTAACAGCACTATAAAAAATAACAGTGAGTAAATAACAGTGTTTCTCTATACATGAATGTAAATAGGCAGTTGGGCGCTTGAACCTTAAATATTTACATATATAGGTACATACATGTATATAAACATAAATCATGCATACATACATATGTATGTCCATATAGGTTCTATATTTGAAATACAAAGTAAAACATGCATAAGCACATAGGCATACATACGTACGTAAAAGTATGTATGTACATGTATGCATATGTATGTATACATAAAGATATGTACATACATATGTAGGAATTTGCGCATGGCTGGGCTTGAAGATCAACTCAAGTCACACTTGTGTGTACAAATGAATCTATGTAAATACATACATACATATACATATGTACATATATGTATATTTGTTTGCACGTATAAATTTATTCTGCCTACCTTTGACAGCTTGTAGCCAATTTAAAGGCAAATCAAAACCACATTTCTGCGTCATAAGACGCCAAAATAACAACAACAACAAACGACGAACCACGCTCATTTAAAGCTCACACACATACACACACACACACACAAAGGCAAGTCGCTGCGTTGAATGAGAGCAGAGAGCGCGCGCTTCTTTCTCTTGTTTGCAAATTCTGTTAACTATGTGTGTGTGTGTGTGGGCTTGAATGCCTATGTTGTTTACTAAGCGCGCAAAAGAAGAATTACAACAAAAAGAAACAGAGAAATAACAAAAAAGTTTCCAAGACGACGCGACGCGCAAACTTTCAAAAAATAATACTGCGTCGCAAGCTTTTTTGTTTATGACCAAATCGGGCAACAAAAGTAACAGTAACAACAGCAGCAGCAGCAGCAACAACAACAACAACAACAACAAAATCAACAGTAACGTTTACATATGTTTGGCAGGCAGAGAAGCGTGCCAAGTCAAAAGAACAACAAGCAAAATACTTATGTATGTATATACATATGTACATACATACATACATGTGTAGTATTTATTTAGCAAGTGCACACTTAATTTCGTACCCCACTGTAGCATATTAGAGTAACGAATTTATATTTACATATGTTTGTATCTGTATGCATTCGATGAGCAAAAACAAAATGAGTGTACATGTATGTATGTATTTCTTTTCGTATTTTCCTTTATTTTGAAAGCTTCGCGTCGTCGGGTTTTGTTTCATTATTATTACTTTTTGTTTTTGTCGTTTGTTGTGACTCGTTTGACGCGTGCTTTGTTATTATTATTGTTGTTTTTGTTGATATTGGTGTTAGTGTTGGTGTCGTTTTGTTGTGGCGCGCGCTTGTACGGCAGCAACAACAATTGTAATAATGGCTTGTCAAAGTAATTTTCTACAATTTTATTGCCATTTGTATTGTGGCTGTTGTTTTGTTGTTATTGCTGTTGTTGTTTCTACTGTTGCAAATGAAAATCAATAAATAATACACCTAAGTTGGCTGACGACTTCGTCTCCTGTTATTGCTGCGGTTGTTGCCAAAAGGCCAAACACATACATAACTGTTGTTTAGCTAACGAAGCTCGACATAAATGCAACACTCATTGCACAAAAAACAAAGCTCATAAGAGTCTGCATTCATTTGTCATGCGTTGTCGTCTCAATTGCTCAATTACTGCTCAAATTGATTTCCATTTAACCCGGTATTTTATAATGGGGCTTCATTTTTTTAATGTGCACATTTTTCTAACATGCCGGCTAGTAATGTTTGTGTACGTAAACAATTGGCTGAAAATGTCTTTAAATAATAAGTACTTTAAAAATATGCAGCGATTTTAATATTTTGTTTACTTTTCGCTAACATTATTGTATTTTTAAACCCCCTTAAACCAATTAAATTGTATGTTGCTATATGAACATAAAACCGCAACTTTGTTTTAGCGCTTTGGCAGAAAAACTATGACTCTTAAGGCCACGCCAACCCAAGTATGTGTATACAAAATGTTGATAAGATAATCCAATCCATCTATATGTACATACATACATATATGTATATGTATGTATACACACAAACATTTACATATGTATGTAGTATATACACGCTTATATAGCATGACGCCGGAACAGTCGCCACTGACGTGCGCTGGTCAGCAGCAGCAGCAGGTGAGCGACGAGCCGTCGACATTTTGGGAGCTTTTAAAAACGCTCTTGGGTACTCTTTTTGGACTGCGGTCGGGCATTTGGTGGACATAAAGCCATAAAAGCACATGCTAATTTGAAGGAAAAAAAAATTTAAATGCTGAACAACCGAAAGGTGCTGGACAGTCAGCTATGAATTATAAACAAACCATATAGGACGAACATAATCGCCATACATAGTTTACAAATGAAAGCAGGCAGCTCAAAAAAGTATGCTGTGAAAAATTGTTTGGCTCTTTCTCTATTATAACTGAATCCTTTTCACACATCCGGGGTGTTTTGTTTGTAACTTATATGAAGTCATCAAGATATGGCTTGACAGCTTTTGTTTCGCACACTTCTTAAATTACGGTCTACACTTAAGCTGTATTTGCTTAGATAATAATTCTAAACCAGCCATCTGCTGTATGTTGTCTACAAGTGGAGAGGATGAGTGTCTGGCAATTACCTTAATTAACGTTCAAGTCACGCAATCAGTATTGAATCAGAACTTATATTTAATAAAAACAATTTATTTTTTAAATTGTCATTGAGGATCTGGGAGCAAGGAGAAGCACTAAAAAAACTCCATCATAATTAAATCAAAAGCCCATTTAAAAATTTGAAAGAATTATGTATTTTTAAGATCAAAGACAGGCTATGAGTTTCGGATCAATAGGGTCTGATAGTCCGATAGCTTCTTGAGATAAACGAGTGTTTTGAATGTTTGTACGATCAATGAAGAGCTTTACTTGTTAACTTATTTTCTAATATTTCTCTCTCTTCCATTCTCTCGTTTTAGTATGTCCACGGATAATCCCACGCAGATTCTGACCCAACACGATATAAATCAGCTGCGCGGTCTTCAAACCGCTGCGGCAGCAGCAACAACAGCAACGGCGGTGGTGGCGGCAGTAGCCGTCTCAGCTCATGGCTATCGGAGCGGGACGCCAGCAAGAGCACTCGCACCACAACACCAGCATCATCAAATAAATAATACAACAACTGTAAATAACAGCAGCAATAGTCACGGAAACAACAACAACAACAACAATAACAACCACAACAACAGCAACAGCATGTCTGCAAACTCTAAATACGTTCTCCTGCAACACAATGGCAACTACACCACGTACGAAGGAAGCGGTGGTGGAACCACCGCAACGAGCATCAGTCAGTCTGGCAACGCTGGCGGAGCAAACAGTGGCGGCAATATTGTACTGTTAGCCACCGAACCGTTGGAATTATGTGGCGGCGATGTTTTGAGCGCAGCCACAGCTGCCGGTGGTGGGGGTGGTGCACGTGGTCAGGATGACGATGGAGAGTTGCGTTCGCTTTCCTGGTTAAGCGATTCCAATTTGATCAAAGGCATTGTGACGAGCAGTGGTGCCGCCTCGAATGTAAAGCGTGGCGCCACAGTGGCTCTAACCACCAGCCTAAAAACGGCAACAGCGTCAGGGACGCCTGGAACAGCTAATGGAACCAATAATATATGCATCGTTAGTGACATAATTGAGGAGGTGCCTAGTGGTGGTTCTGGTGGTGGTGTTAGTGTTGCTAGTGGTGGTGAAAATGCAACCACCGACTTAAAAACACATTACGTGGATGAGCAAAAGACGCAGTCACAAGCGACGGTGGTGCAGCAACCACCGACGGCAGTGTACAGCACCACAACGGTGCATAAGGGACCCAGCGGCACAACAACGGTGGTGGAGTACAAAGCGACCAAGGCAGCTACGGCGGCGGTTGTGGCGACAGCAGCCACCCCAGGTGGTTACATATCCGCAACCACATCCCGTCCCTTGCCCACACTAAGTCACAACTATGTGCCTGTAAGCAATGGCGCCACCACAGCACCACTTGTGGTAGTCGCCACATCCACAACATCCAATACGGTCGTCAAACCACAACATCAACAACCACAACAGTCGCAGCAGCAACAACAGCAACTCTATGTGAGTAGTGGTGGCACCACAGGTGGTGCTGCCATCTATAAGACCACGCTCGCCAGCAGCTCAAGTGGTGGCAATAGCAGTGGCGGCGGTGGTGGTGGTGGCAGTGGTGGCAACACCACCACACATCATCCGCACAAAAAATACTTGCGTGAGAAGATGAACGTTCATGTGGATCACAGCAATCATGTGGCCTCCACAGTAACGGTGGTTAGCTCACCGGCCTCGTCCAACAACTCCTCACTGAGCTCGTGCTCCGCCTCCGGATCCTCAACCGCTGCGGTCAACGGTGGCAATAGTCCCGTGCCCAAGTCCAATAACTTTACTGCTGCATTCGACGCTGTCAATTATACGGGTAACGCATCGACAACATCGGGCAACAACAGTAGCAGCAGCAGTGTAGAGGCCACGCCCCCAATCGCCTCCTCCTGTCCGACCATAGCTACGCTGCCCGCCGGCTACAGCTTTGTGAGCCACATGAGCAACAGCACCAGTTCGCCGCATGTCATGTAAGTGCCTGAAGCCGATTTAGTCTCCCCTCCCTGTCTATCTGTCTATTTATATGTTCAGATCTTGCCAGTGATTCGAAAAAACCACACGGAATAACGAAAAATCTGAAACAATTTCTCCAAATTCTTCCCGAATTTGATCAAATTTCTCAAAATTACTTTGATTGCATTTAATGCTCTTAATCTAAATAGTGATGATACAAAGATCGAACTTATATATAGAAAATTATACTTATGTTATGTTCCTATTCAGGTGGAACAATTGAGCCAAATTTCGTTTGTCACTATACGTGGCTAATCATAATAATCTTTAAAGATTGAATCGGGATTTTTTCGGCTTTTTCACAACCACTCCAAAAACAATTTTGTAATAAATATGTTTGGTTTTCTTTTTTATAATTTTGCAGCAACAGTACGAATACTAAGGCCATTATAGTGACGTCCTCCTCCTCGACAGATGTGCCACCAATGAGTGCCACAATGTCGCCGAATGGTCCCTTCTATGCTTCAACACAAAATCTCCAGCTGTCAATAACACCGCCCCCGCCCTCAAATGCCTCAGCACTACAGTCAATGGGCTATATGCGTAGCCCGACCTCCTATTCCAGCTACGATAACGACGATTCACTCAAGGACTTCGAGCTGAACCCCAACAATCTTGGAGCACGCATGCTCACCAGTACACCCCAACATGTGACAATATCCCAATCCCAGCAGCAGCAACAGCAGCTGGCGGGCAAGTCATCCAGCTCGGCGACAATCGGTGCCGGCTCTGCCCCGGCCGTCTATGGCACCGCCAATGGCAACAATACGCCACAAAAGCAGAAGCATCCTAACAATGTGCCATACGATCCGCTCGTGCATACCAACAACAAGCCGCCATATAGCTTTAGGTAAATGCATTAGTAGTTAAAAGAACTACTTTAAGAACTGACGTAAATATTTGGGGAAACTATTGAAAACGTTAAAAAAAAATAATTTTTATGGTACTATGGTAACAGATTTCGGAATTACATTTTGACGACACAGTGTTTTTAACTGAATTTCTCAGATATTTTAAAATAGCACAATAAAATTGATAGACTAGGATTTCGGGTTGCATCAATTCTTCTTCAAAGACAAAACAAGAGACAACAAATAATGATCAGTCAAATGCCAAGTATTCCATTCATTCAAGATAATAAATATATGATTAATGAGAAATCATTCAAGTGAGGGAAAATTCGACCCGCTAGTGGGGTAAAAATAAGTTTTGAAACTATCGTTTTTTGCGAAAATTCGAATACATCTTATGGCAGTCGTATAATTGTTATCATAGAAGTATTCGAAGATCTGACAAATATTCTTTCTTCTATCTTCATTTTTACAAAATGTGGAAAATGAACATAATAAGATCGAATTTAAAAAGAGAGTGGATTCAGATATCCTCAGATTCTTCAGAGCTATAAATTTACTCGTATATTCATTCAGGGATAAAAATAATACATAGGGACAACTAACATAACATATTTATATAATGATATATGTCTTTTCTTTTACTAAAGTTCCTTGATATTCATGGCCATTGAGGGCTCTAATGAGAAGGCGTTGCCCGTCAAGGAGATCTATGCCTGGATTGTGCAGCATTTTCCTTACTTCAAGACCGCTCCCACCGGCTGGAAGAACAGCGTGCGTCACAATCTCTCGCTCAATAAGAGTTTCGTTAAGGTGGAGAAGGCACCTGTAAGTTAATGCGCTAGATAATGAAAAACTGATCAACTGAATGAACGAACTATAATTCCATATTTTCAGAATATGGGGAAAGGTTCGTTGTGGCGGGTGGAGCCACAGCAGCGTCAAAATCTCATACAGGCGCTCAATCGCTCCCCCTTCTTTCCTAACTCGGCTGTGGACAAGATAAGCTCACTTAAGAGTCCCGGTGGCAACTCTGGCTACGACACTATGGATGGCAACATTGGCACTGGCAGTGGCAGTGCCAGCGGCAACGGTGGTGCCTTTGTTGCTGTCTCTGGCACGCCCAACAAAAGCAATGGACTGCCGCCCACGATGACGTCGTCACAAAGCAACAACAACAACAACAGTAACCATAATAATAATGTGGCAGCTGGCGGCGCTGCAACCGTTCCTGCCAATTCAAATACGAATGGCGCCCAACAACGTTTTGATCCAACACTGTTTCCTAATCTGTCCAAAGCGTTTGGCCATTTTGGCAACAATGAGGAGTCTGCTCATCAGCCCCTTTCACTCAATGATGCGCACGATGATGAGTTGCCCTCCGATTTCAGTGCGACTAGCTATCATAATATCAACAACAACAATAATAATAATATTAACAGTAATAATAACAACAACAACAGCAAGTACAACTATGCCATCCTGAACGGAGGTGGCAGCAATGGAAGCGCCGTCGCTCCCGGTGGCGCATTCAGCTTTGAGCGCTTGGCCCGCGATTGCGGCGCCGACAGTATGGACGATGTGCATGCAGCGGCTGCTATGCTCTGCCTAAAACACGGACCAAAGGCCTTCTCGGAATCATTTCAGAATGGGTGAGTGGTGCATCCCTTTTCCAACTGCCTTTAAAAACTGTGCCTGTGGAAAGTATAGAACTTATATTGACTTATTCCATTTCCGCTTGGCTTCTAGTAGTTTTTTAGTTTTTGTATTGGTCCTCAGTTTTAATTTCCATGCACTCTTAAATATCACAGAATTGAGAAGTAGATTAGGTTTTGAAATACTATTCAGCTCGAACAAAGATACTTTATTACCCAATATATATAAAAGCTTTTCTACTTTTGGAGTTAAAGCTAAAAACTATAATTATTTTAACTTGAGTACAGTTGTGAGTTAAATAATAAAAGGCACAACTCTTCTACTTATCAGTAACTTTTGAATATGATCTTATTTTCGGAATCTATGGAAACATCTGCAGATCACTGTCTCTATCAGATTACCTTAAATACTTGTCCCAAACTAAAATATATTGAGTGCCACGTCTGCTTCTCAAACTTCTTTGGGAATATATATATCATCCTTCATTTTGATAACTTCTTGCAAATCATGCTATATTTACTTGTATATATGTAGATACATTTATGAGTTTTAAACACAAGTATTCTGCTGATGGACTTAGCAGACAATTTTGTTTGTCCGTCTGAACGTGTAGATCTCAGAAATTATAAGACATAGAGATACTAAATATCTAAATATCAGACACTACCGCCCATTTGCATATTATGTTTAGGTTTTGAAATTGCTCGGAAGAATTTGTACAGTTTTGTAGTCATTATTAATAATAATATAACGATTTTAAAATTGCAGCAGCGCACCTGTGATCACCTCCTCGCCCAGCGAGGATCACACCTATTCGGCGGGCGGCAACAGTAATGCAGACAGTGGTGCCTCCACACCCTTAACCAATGGCAATGAGAATGCAGGTCCATTGCAGCAGCAGCAACAACAACAGCAGAACCACCACCATCATCCCCACCATAGCTTGGGCAACAGCAGTGGAGCAAATGGCAATGGATTGTTAATTGGGAATCACAGCAACAACAACAACAGTGCAGACAGCAATTGTGCCTCTTCGGATGCGGCCTACGATAGCAGCGAGGAGAAGTATGTGTAGTATATATGTATATATTTTTAGTTCGAGCTCAAACGAATTGTCTTATCTTGTGTTGCAGTCATAACATAACGCCTGAGGAGTTGGCCGATCAGCAGCGTCAGCGCGATGGCGTCGATGCTTTACTCTCGCTCTCCCGCTGCGGTTCGACAGCAACCACACACTATCACAGCAACGGCAGCTCTGGCAGCAGCCATGGTTCGCCACATAAGCGCGCCTCCAGCAACAGCGTCGAGGAGTTGCTCTGCACCACCGAAAGCGTCAATGGGAACAATGTCAGCATCTATACGAGCGGCAGCGGCAGCAAAATGGCGCTGCTGAGCAGTGCGGCTGCTAATGTGGCGGCTGCATCGGCGCTGGCACAGCAACAACAACAACAGCAGCAGCAGCATCAGCAACGATCCATTTTTGAGGAGCATTACAGCGGCACCACAGGTGGCCATATTGTGGGCAATGTTAATGCAACCACCGGCAATTACTATGCCTTGCCCGCCTCTGTGTTGGGCAACTCGCATCAGGCATTGCTGCCTCAGCAACAGCAGCAGCAACAACAGCAGCAACAGCAGCATCAGTTGCATCAATTAAATTTGAATGCAGCCGCTGTGGCCGCCAACAACAAGAGGGTGAAGCCCTTGCGAGGACTACGCACCAAGATTAAACGCAAGTCCCCCTGGATGCGGTGAATATGGCGGAAGGCTGCTGGCAGGCAGTAGGCGGTTCTCCGCCCCCACGACTGGACTGTCTCTTTCGTGCACGCACAGACACACACACATACATATATATATATATATATATATATATATATATATATATATATATCTAGACAGATAAACAGATGGACAAACAGACAGACAGACAAACCGACAACCCACATGTTGTTGTTGTCTCTTTCTAATCGCAATGTTAAACTAATGCCACACGATTATTTTTTTTCTATTGACTCTAAACATAACAAAAAATACATAATTATCCTAAACTATATATTTTCTTCTGTGTTTGTTAAACAAGTTTTTAGACTAATTGATAATTGCAAATTTAAAACAATTTTATTATTACAATTATTTTTATTTTTTATTTGTTTTTAATTACCATTAGTTCTAGTTTTTTTTTTAGTTTTAAATATTTAGTTGTAACTGACGCTTGACTTGAATTAGTGGCAACTTTTTTATTGTTGTTGCCTGTTAATTAAATTGTTGGCCATTATATTTTTAGTTTTTTAGTAAAATATAGTCTTGTTTGTTAGTGCTCCTTATTTTAAATTGTGCTGTTATTATAAAAAGGAATGAAACTATCCAAAAACCATAAATCATTTTAACGTTTTCTTATTTTTTTTTTGTTTTTTTCCGGCAACGAGTAACGGTGCTTAGAATTGTTTAATGCCGCGCACCATATTTTAGTTATATTTCATAATTCATATTTTATACTTGATTATTCCTATGATCTACAGACAACAACAAACAGAAACATCAAACAATTTATATAAATACATTTATATCATAAACACTAACACTAACAGCAACAACAACAACAAAAAACAGCAACAACAACACAAAAAACGAGCTAAGAACTTTTGAAAAACACAAAGAAATTTTTGTATCTATAGAGAAGAGGAAACAAGAAACACATTTTTTGCTATGAGCTAAACTTTTTTATATTAGTACACAAGCATATACATACATACATACATATATTTATATAGTAAAGAGGACAACAATTGCAACTAATTACGATCATGATCTATCTAGACTATATATATAGAAGTATATACATATATTTATGTATTTAAGAGAGCCAAGCAAAGAAAGGAAGAATGAAGGAAGGAAGGAAGGAAAGAAATTAAAACAAATTTAGCGCCTTATTATTGAGTCCTTAGAGAAACCTAAACTAAAACTGTAAGCAGTCATAGCGAAAAGCTGTTAAACATTGTTTTAAACTAATGGCAAAACATTTTGTTAATTTTATGCACACATACACACACTCACACTCACACACACTATACAGCAGAATTGTTAAACTTTAAGCGCTAACAACCAAACAACACAAGAGTAGATGGAAATGGAAAAGTGAATTAAATGTGTGGCGCAAGAAACAAAAGAAAAGAAAAACGAAAATAATAATTATAATGAATCCAAACCACACACAAACCACAACAGAAATCCAACACTCAAGTATAATTGTTAAATCAAAGAAACTAAATAGTTGTAAGGCACAAATACAAATCAATTAAATGTTGTAATAAAAGAAATGAAATCAATTTATTTAGTTTAATGTTAAACGCATAATACATAAAACATAAAACCGAAGCAGTAGCAGAAGCAGAAGAGGAGGAATTGTTAAGAGACGCCAAAACTGCTGTTCGCGCCTTGTTTCGCAGTTGTTGTTTCAGTTTTGTTTGTAAATTAACTAAATAATTTGTTAAGAGAGAATGCAACAAATAGTTTGATGGATGCGTAATTGCAATTTAAGTTTAGTGAACATGCTATTGTTAAATGCAGCAAACCTTAGTTAAATCTAATCTATATAACTATATATCTATCTATATCTATATATACTTATACATATATACATTACTCGTACATATATGTACATACGTGGAAGGAAAGCAAAAAACTGTTGAAACTTATGCTGCAAATTCAATGATGATGATCATGCTGATGATGATGATGATGTATATTTAAATAAACTAACTAATTAACTAACTAATGCCCTAAGTGTATACACTTCAAGTACCTTTTTAGCAAAAGAAAAAGCATTAAAATTAAATTTAAACAAATGATTAGCGAAACAACAAAACAAAATAAAACAAAACAAAAGAGAAACACAAAAAGCTTAAATGTTAAAAACGCAGCAAAAATATTTAATTACACAGAGCAGAGCAAGCAAGAAAAGAGAAGCAAAGGCAGCACTTAATGTGCTTGCCAATTGCCAATTGCTAATTGTTAAACTTAATGTTAAACGTTCTTATTTTTCTATTGTTTAATGACCTATTTTATAAAAAATAATAATCATAATATTACTTGTGTATAGAGAAGCAACAAAGTTTTAGTAGCTTTATGAGAACGCCTTTAAAACATAGACAGCGGGACAAAGATAAACATAAAGAATACGGAAAGGGAGAACGAGAGAGAAAGAGAAGGAGAGGGAGAGAGAGAGAGAGAGAGAGATAAAGAGCGAGTAAGCAACAAACTAAAAATTAATATTAATAAAACAAGCATAAGCCTAAGGCAAGCAATAACTGCAACAACAACAAACAAAATAGGAAACAAACACATACACACACAAATACACACACACACACACACACACACTCACACCAATACACATACACATTTATAAATTAAATGAAATGAAATAAATCAATTCCACCCCATCACAACACAAAAGAAACAATTTACGCTGACAATCGCCGCCCGAGTTGTCGTTGCTAAGTTTAAATAGAAAAACTAGAAAAGCTATACATACACACATATACAAACATACATACATACATTTATACATGTGTATAGGAATATGTTTGCATAGCTAAAGCAAGTAAAACAAATATTGTTATATTATAACTTAAGCTTTATTGTTTATATACAAAGAAACCAACAAACAAAAAAAACAAAAAACAAACACAAACACACACGTGATTGGAAAGTGGAAACCTGAAGAGAGAGAGAGAGAGTTGTATGTGCAGGATACACCCCCTCCCCCTCCCCATCCACAACACTGCCCCCACCCCTCCCGCGCACTTTGAAAGTCCCCCTCCCCAAAACTCAACCCGCCCATTACCATCGCCTGCCTGCCTACCTCTACGACCTGTAAACAGTCATTTATAATGACGTTTTGTATGAATGTTAATGTTTATATATAAATATATAACTTTTTTTTGCTATTATTATTATTATTATTACTATTATTAAATATATATATGATTATAATTTTTGCGTACCAAATACACACACATGTGATTTCATTTTCTTGCATATCTGCTTTTTTGCTTTTCTTTTGTCTTGCGTCTTTCCTTTTTTGATGTTATTCTCGTCGTCATTAACGTCTCGTTAGGAATTTAAAGAAACACTACACAAGTGCCTCTAAATGTTTTGTAGTCTCGGGTTGGGGATAGCAATTGGCTGTAGAACAGGAGAGATAGAGAGAGAGAGAAGTTTGTGGTTAATGGAATGGGAGGACCTATTTCTTTACTTTTGAGTTAACTTTAATCAACAATTTATGGAGAACTTCACAGTTAAGCTTCAGTTTCATTTTCACTAACTCTGAAGCAAATATGAATATATTATGTGTAGAGAATAATACCCCAATAGATCAGACTCCAAGAAAAATGCAGCCTAGGGTTTCAAGTTATTTGAATGAAATGGGCAGATTTTTCATACAAACGTTGCTGCCCCCTTTTCCTCGATTTGGAGTGAAAATTTCCCACAGCCGCGCTGTAAAAGAAAACTTGCTAGCTCCTAACATTTGGACTGTATTTCCTTATGTTGACAGTTTTTAATGGCACTTGAAGATCTCTTTCCAGCATCCCAGTTGATTTCAAGCCTACATTTGAAATCAAATTCCAACATATTGGAAATTAATTAAAATTGTAGCTAAGATCTAAAAGGAACAACAAATTCGCAAAACATTACCTTGTGCCGGCAAACATATCAAAATATAAAAAATTATACAATTATACTTTCAACAATATCGGTCGATTATGAGATATAGGAACGATCGGTGAATAAATCCCACATAGTACCAATATATTTTCTTTAAGGAAGGGAAAAGGGCATAGTGTCTGTATGAAATGCAAGGATTTCTCAGGATATAGGTTCTCCCAAGTCATCTCGAAACTGCACATCACTTTGATAATAATATTAGAGGTATTTCATATAAGTATACAAATTTTTTAGTGAAACGAGAAAAGCTTTGCAGGCAAAGGTGCTTTATTAGAGAAGTTTTTGTTGTTATTCAACATGGCCTAAAAAGTAAATGCGTTTAAAAGGCAATCTATGGGTTGGATGGTTGGGATATTCAATAGTTTTTGTAGGGAAATCAAACATCAAACATAATAAGAGATCTGTACGTTAACTTTAACTGAGCTTTTTTGAAAATAGAAAACGTATCTATTGTCCTACAAACTTACTAGCAACTAATAACATTTTTGGACTCGAACGATAGCGCAGGCCTTATGAGCTCTCATTAACTTTCTTAAATAAAGAATAAAGATTAAAAAAAGAAGCTTATCGAAGACGAAGAACTCCTTAAAAACTATATTTACAACATTTTCAGATTCCATTGCTGGTATCTGCAAATATTTGCTTCAGAAATAGTGAAAGCGCAGCTCTCTTGAATATCACAAGTCTAGCCATTTGCCTAATTAGTTTTGAAGAATGCTGTCGACACTTTAAAGTGTATGGGATCATCTAAAAAAATGACCAATTAGAGATATTATTGTTATTATTATTATATTCAGAGAAAAGATGTCCAAGGTGCTGTTCCGTTCTGCTGCTCTAAAGCTTGCTGCTAAGCTTGCCTTTTTAGTTTCTTTCTAATATTTAGCAGCTTTATATAAAAAATCTACATAATGTTACAACAAGAAGAAAACAAAAACAAACACGATTCGATTTAAGCTCATATGGGGGGTCGGGATCAAGAAACCACCTGAGGCTATATAAATCGATACTCAGGATATGAAAAAGTTAAGCAATGATGTGTATAGGGTGCCACATAATTCCAAGCAACAACAAATAATGAAACAAACTGCATTTCTCAAAACTCTGGTAATCAAAACACAAACCAAAAAATGCTTTTCCTTTGCTCCATTTCGTCATATAAATACATATACATACATACATACATATAACAAAAAACGAAAAAAAGAATCTGAATCTGAATCTGTTTGCCCTCCAAGGTTTCAACTAGCGCCTGTCTTTATGTCTAAACCTGTACCAACAAACAACAAATACATACATACATATTAATTATATAAAACGAGATGGAAGTGTAATGAATAAATTTAAATATATATATACATACATATATATATATATATATATAAATATATATATGATATTGATGATACTGATGATAAAGAGTTGCCCTGTATTTTTTAGAGCAATATTTTTTTAACTTAATATTTTTCTACTTTTGTGAGGAGTAAACTAAACAAAAAGAAACCACAACAAAGACAAGAACAAAAGCAAAAGCAAAACAAATGCAACAACTTTCCAAATTTCGTTAAATGCTTCACTTTCGAAACGAAGAAGAAATGCTAATAATAATAATATAAGTAAAATGTATATAAAAAAGCAAACGGAAAAGGAAAAGACAAGCAGTTGCTGAAAGTCCAAAGTCTTAAGATTTTGCACTGCTTCGATTGGCTTTGAGCAAACGGACACACACACAAATATATACCGATATACATATATGAATAATGTAATGGAACAAAAAGAGAGAGGGAGAGGGAGAGAGAGAGAGAGAGAGAGAAATCAACATCTCCCATAGATGCTACAAGCTTTGACAATTGTTTTAAAACACGAGCTACATACGAACTTGAAAAAAATATTTGTTAAACTGAAAATTTGTTAAGAAATGGCCACAGATACATACATACTTACATACATAGCTAAATAATATAGCCATATAAATAAACAAACAAACAAACGAGCATGCAAAGCATTTGCCATACATGCATACATACATACCTACATACATACATACATACATATATAGAAGAGTACATTTTAGCCTAATAAGTGACACAAAACCAAACAAAACCAAACAAAACAAAAGAAAACAAATCAGAACATAACAGAAACAGAAAACATGTTAAAGTGCAAATAAAAATCACAAAGCAAATGAATCAATAATTGTTTCTCAAATCAAATGAGTGCATTCATTCTCCTTCTTAAGCAAGCAGGCAAATATTTTCAGCATTGGACACATTTTTTGCAATCGTCAATTTTCAGAAGTTTCCAAGTTATTCTGTTTATAAAAAAGGCAAAAGTATAAATAAATTGAAAAGATATTGCATTTTAGAGCGTGCTCGAGCGATCAACAAGCAGTTTCAAATAGCAGTGATACAAACCGGTGTTGCTAAGCAGCACAGCCAAGCAGTGCACAAAGCCAGTGTTAACAAACAACTGCTTGCTTACGTAAATGTCGATGGTTCGCGTCCCCACTACAAATAAATAGTGGCTTTTGCGTCTCCGCTGGTAGTTGGTGGCGAGTTTTCCTTTCAGTTGTTTCTATTGCTCCTTGACAGGCGGACAATGGAAAAAATGGTCCTTTTATCTATGAGAAAAAACCGCATGGATATTTTTTAAAGCATTTATTATACAAATATTTCAGTGGCACTTGCTTGGAAGGCTTGTTTTTGGATTGTTCCCAGACAACTCCTGCAGCATATATGTACAAGTATATACATATATTAGTACTATATATATCTGATTTTTTTACATTTATGTATTTAGTTGGCTTTTTTGTTTGTTTGTTTATTATATATAGTTTTTATGAAACCCCAAAAGCCAAGCTCCAGCACACGCGCACAGACAGTCTTTTAGTTGTGTGAGAGAGAGAGAGCAAGACAGAGCGGCAAAAAGGGAGCCTTGATTGATCCTTAGACGACGGCAGCTAATAGTGCATGACGAGGACATCCTCGGTGAAGCTGACCACACGATTGGGACTATCGGCCATTGGCTCATTGCCAACATTCAGTGGCACGAGCACGTAACGCGCATTCTCCGTGCCATTGTTGCTAATATTGAAGGGTCCGCCGTCGCCACCGGCGTTCAGCTGCTGCGCCTGCCCCGTTACATTGGATGTGGCGCCGGAGTCGCCACCCTCATAGCCATTGCCATCACCCGCAGGACTGGGCGTGCTTTGACTGAGCAAGCCTTGGGAGGCCGCGAGGCCGGGAATGGCCGAGTAAAGAGAGGCTGAGGCGGGAGATAGGATGGGGGCTGCATCGGCTGGGGTTGGCTGTGAATCGGCAGAGCCAGCATCAATCGCATTCTTCGTATAGAGGCTGCTCATGCAACGGATTGTCTGTATGAAGCTTTGGCGTCGCACCAGATGATCCTCCTCGGTGTCCTGCATGGTGCAAACATCAATATCACTGCCACCCATAGACTCATCCGAGTCCGAGTCTGACTCGTACATGTAAGCGGCATCCTTTTTTATCGTCGACGATTGACGTTCCACTGGCTCCGCTGGAGCCTTCACAATACGAATCTCGACTATACGGCCGTAGACACGTTCGCGCTCCCGGCGCTGTTGCAACATAATGCGGCTCCTTTGACGCGACAACTCCACCTGTACGGCAGCCAGCTCGCTGGTAATATGATCTGCCGTTTCCCGCACAGTATCGTTCCGGAACATAATCCAGCGTATGTGGGAGGGCACATGAATCGGCAGAAACAGACACAGTCGTGCAATCAGATACTTGATGTTTCCAATTGTCTGAAAGAGTGGAGGAGATAGAGAGATGGAGAGAGAGAGAGAGAATGTAGTTACCTTAAATACTTAAAATATATCTCCATTGAAAAAACTATATACAGTTAGTTATCAGAATTCCACTCACCTTGTAGTAGTTGGCATCGTTGAATGGGGATACTAAGAGCTCCTTGCGAATTTTGCGAACATGACGACGAAGACCGCAGAATTCAAAGACTTCGGCGCGTATTTTCTGCAAAAAATAACGTTACGATGAATAAACACCTCAAGTATAGAAATTATTGGTGACTTGAAGAATTGTAAAACATCCATTGTCCTGTCTACTCAATGAATGGCCTGTCAAGCGACACCGGAATCTCCAAATTAGGGATCTGACGTGGTGACATCTGACGTGGTGACATCTGATGTGTTGAGTATTATGAAAGTCCCATTATTAGCTGCCTGTACTTTTATTTTGGACTCCTCTGCACTTCTAAGTTGTCTCAATTTTTCAATTCCCTGCAGTCTGACTAGGAAGTAAAGCCCTTTAATCTTGTCTAGCTGGACAACTCCCTCTTTCTATTTCTCTTTTCCTCTTCACTGTTCAGATTATAATGAACCATTATCAGCTACTGTCCACAGAAATCTCTCTTTTTATTCTAAAAAGGTCAGTTTTTTTTTTTAAATTTCAGCTGGCTGGACTGGCTTTATAATCTACTCCCAACGAAGAAGATTTGCCTGTTTTCTTCAGTAATCTAACTAGCTTTTAATTAGCATTAAGTTTTCTTCTTCTTTCTACTTTTTCTTAATAGGTTGTTTATAGTTTTGCTTTGCTTTTTACTTCCATTAATGACGCTGACCCCTTAATATATGGCTGTGAATCGGACTGGTCGGATGGCGATACAAAATTTAATATTATTGTAATTGTGTTCGATTCTCTTGTAGGTTCTACAAGCTTTCGATGTACTTGACAGTCTAAATAAATAATTAAATACACATTAGAGTTTATTCTTTCCTAAGTCTTTGTCTTCTTGGCCATTTATGCTTAACGATATCAGGAGTATAAGAGCTAGAAATCATAACAGACGAAGCCTTCTTTAGAGCGGAAATTATAATATACTTGTACTTATGTGTGATGCTTCAGTTGAATTACTATATGATAATGGCACTCACCGATTTCATGTCGCTCACCGTCTCGCCCATCAGCAGTTTGTCGATAACATCGAAAAACTTGCGCTGGGATTCCCCGGCGCGAGTATAGACTGCAGTGCGTTGGGCCTTGAACTTCTTGAGACAGTCCTCAGCTATCTGGTACAGTTCCATATCCTCGCGAACATATCGATCCAAGTAGGCGATGGCCTCGGCAAATCGATAACGCACCAGAGTCAGACCACAAACGGCGGCCTCTTCGGCATCGCCATAGATGAGCGGCTCAAGATCGCGATGGTTCTGACGCCGGAACTCAATGAGGCGTTTGTTGAGATAATCGCAAAACAATTGCTCCACCTGCAAGGTCTCCACCACCTCGATTAGCTCCCCAATCAGCCGAGCCTTGTTGAGACGACCCAAGGGTCCGTAACGGGAGTTGGCCACGCGGGACGAGAGGCTAATGGTCATGGATTGATCGCGAGCGGCGGCCACAGCCTGCCGCATCGAGCCAATGGAGGGGCCGCGCAGAGAGCTGCGCCTAGTCGGAGGTGGTGGGGGCGACAGATCAGCCATGGCCAGGGAGCTATAGCTGCTCTGATTGCCGAGGGCAAAGCCACTGGATGTGGAGCTGATGATGCTGCCAGCAATTTCGAGCTCGTTCCTGTCGGGGCCAGCACCAATCTGTGTGCTGCCGGGGGTGGCGCTGAGCGTCAGATCCGTGCCAGCATCCAGGAGATCGGTGAGATCTGCCTCGCCAGCGGCATGACGCTGCTCGTTGGTGGAATGAGGCGCGACTGTCTGGGTCGCTGATGCCTCATTGTAGCGCTGCATGATCCGACGAAGCTCATCGTGCACGTCTTCAGCGCCATAGTGCTCGGTAAAGTGCGCTTCAATTAGACCCGTATCCACATGGTCCAGCCAGTGGGACTCATTATCACCGCTGGTCGGGCTGTTGCCACGATCGCTCATTCTTCCGACTTGAGTACTGCTCTCGTTTCTACCTGATCGAAGGTCCGCATTCAGTTGTGGACCACCTTTGAATGGTGTGGAGATCTCGCAGCTACTTACCACTGGACTGATGTTTTATGGATTGGTTTCTGCGATGGGGCCAACGTGCGCTGTGCTCTTGCACCACAAAGTTGCTCACAAAAAATTTGTGTGTTTTAAAAAAGATAAACTAAATAATAATGATTATTCGATTATCAAAACGTTCCCAAACTAATTTTGAAGTGTTTCTTTTCAACGCTTGCTACAAATAACACAATCAAGTCTCGGGATTTAATTGCAAATAGAAGGCCTGCTAGTTCAGAGCCATCATCTGCTCTGTTTCGAGTCCATAAACGTTTCAATGTTAATCGAAATATTAAAAAAAAAATTGATTTTTGATTTTTTTTTGAGTGCTTTTGGAATAGGCATATTTATTTATTTGTGTCAACAAACATTGACTGTCGACATAGGAAATAGTACATAAAAATTATAAAAAGCATCTTATAAGCTTATCTAGCCTAAGAAGGAGAAATCTAATCAAATTACAATAATATCTAATTAACGCCTCCGACCCGGTGGGGGAATATTACAAGTATTTGCCCTTCGGCTAGCTATGCCCCGCCTCACAGCCATGTGTGGCCAGAGGCGTCCATAGATCTACCGATAAAAAAAGAAAAACATAACAGAGAGAAGAAGCTTGGAAATACTAATTTTAAAAAGAAAATATATATATATATATATTGGAATCTCAGACCCGGTGGGGCATCTCTATTGTGCGGTTGTTTTGGATGCTAGTTGAGAAAGCCCTGAAATTCAAACAACTTGCAGCTGTAAAGGAAAGGCGAGGGAAAATGCAGTTTTAGTTTTATGTTGGAATACAGTATATTCGTCTTTATTGAATTTGATTTCTCTGTTCAGTTTTACATGCTATATAAACTATTTATTATTATTTAATTTATTTATATATATAATTTTCTTGCATTTTACTTTTATTTATGTATATAAGTATTATGTTTCTTGTTTTGTTTCTATTTTTTATTTCTTTTGCATTCGCATAACGCCAATTTCTCGAATTCATTGTTGCATTTGCTTGTGGAATTGAAAATCTTGTAATTTACAAAAATGAACGCAATGCGGAGACACAAAAAAGAACGAAAAATCAAACATGAAATACAATTTGCATTAATTTATAAAAAAGAGGATTCTTTTTATTTTTTAACTCGTATGTTGTTAAACATTTTTATGCTCATGCCTGGTGCAAAGATCTCTAAATTTTTATTTTGAAATGTGAGGAGAAAAAATGCGTTCTGCTTAAGAATTGTTTGCCAAAGTCCAAGTTATGGAAGTGCTTGGGCTTAGATCGCTATATATATATACATATATATATATATATATATATATATATATATATATATATATATATACTTGTATGTATATACATATATAGCATGTGTACTTTTGATATTTTTGCTTGACTTCATGTCGAATGGGCACAGCTGTAGTTTTGCTTCTTAATTCCACTACTAATTACTTGGCATGATGTTTTGTTCTTGTTGTTGTTGTTATTATTATTATTTTGTATTGTTTATTAATAATTTGTTAAATGTCTTGCGTTTTGATTTGGGCGGATTTTAAAACTGAAAACGGTGTTGACTTGCGGCAGTCGCTGCTGATGCTTTGTGTTGTTGTCTTCAAAACTCAAAATTTGGTTCAACAGTTGAGCTCTATGTACGTATGTATGTATGTCTGTATGTGTGTGTACGCTATGTGTGTATGGTTAATGCATATATTTATATATATATATAAATATGTATATATATATAGATAAATTTTTGTTTCCGTTTCTTTTTTTCTTTTTGCATTATATTCAAATCATGCCTATATATTATTTAACATAATGTTGATATGGTCTGTTTTTAAATGTTGTTGTTGTTGTTGTTGTTAATTCAATAATATTTGTCTATTTTATGTACAGCTGGCTTAACATTTAAAACTAATCAAAAAAAGTTGTTGTTTATTTATTTGTTTGTTTGTTTGTTTTCCTTTTAATTTTTTGGCAAAGTCTAAAAAATGCTGCATACAACTGGGGGCTGTGTGTGTGTGTGTTTGTTTGTGTGTGTTTGTTGGGTGTGCCTTTGTGCCTGCATGTATAAGACTGTATATCACCATGGGCTTAAATTCTTTCATATTCGTTTAGATATATTTCTATATGTTTATATGTATAATTTGTCATATATATTTATATATATATATTCGTGGCCACAACTGCTACAAAGTCGAGTAGACAAAAAAAAAAGAAGATTGTTCATGAAATGTATAATTTATAATATCTTTTGTTTTCATTTTCATTTTCTGTTAGTATCAAAAGAGTCGAGTGTATTTATTGTGTTTTGCTTTCTTTTTGTGTAGAATTGGAAGGATAATTTCTTATTAAATTTTGTAATATATATATTTATATATATATATATTTTTTTTTTTTAACTTTATTTATAGTTATATTTTTTTGTTTTGTTCAATAAATGTTGCTAAATACAAATAAGTTTATTTACAGCTTAAATTTTGATTTTAACTTGCACACTGAACATTTTATATGCTCTTTAAAAATAATTACGTATTCATTTTGCTTTCTACTACCTCTCTATGTACTAAGTATATGGGGGTTCCGCCCCTCTTCTCTTTATCTCTGTGTAAGAGAAGGCTTTGACATGCTTTATGGCTTAAATTCTAAGCAAAAAATTTAATGCCTACATGACTAAAATGTGTGAATTACTTGGCTAGCACCGCATATTGTTTATGTATGTATGTATGTATGTGTATGCTTATCGAGTATATTATAATAAAAATGCTCTCCTTTCTCCATACAAGTATATCTATGTATGTACCATACTATATGCTTCTCACTAAATGCAAATGGATATTAGAAATCAAAGGGCTTAATGCTGTTCATCTCCTCGACAAATGGGCTGGAAACGCTGCTCAACCGATGTGTAGTTAGCTTCGATTTCGATATCGTTTCGTGGGCTATGTTTTGAAATTGTTGGATCAAAGTTACGTCGATCTTCATTGCTGATCTCATATGCTTGTATTGATCACTCTTCAGCGATTATATGCGATTTACGCATTATCTTTATTAGCTATAACTGAATCATGATCGTGGCATGAATAAATCATGATCGTATACCTGATACGATCATTTTGAATGCGTCGTTTTTCGTTAAGCAGTCGTCGACATCCTAACAATCGAACAGAAACCAGAAAATAGTGATCGCATCGATCGAAAACAAATCGTTAATCGAACATTGTGTATCGGCGTATTTGTGTGTGTGTATGTGTGTGTGTGTGCATGAGCTGCTGGGAGATAAAAAATTGCGAGTACTGTTGTTCCTCTGCGGCATCTGTTTTGAATTGTTTTGATTTGATTTCCTTACATTAATGCCATGCTCAAGAGAGAAATCATAATGTGGAGCCTATAGGGGGTGTGAAAAATAAAAGGGATTTGTGGATTTGTTTAAGAAAACATATTTATTTGATAAAGTTTCATTTATGTTCATGTATTATTGGTATGTTTTTACGATAATTACAATAATAATAATTATAATAATAATAATAGGTAATAATAAAAAATTTCTCATAATTATTACAATAGCAAAAAAAAAGATCGATTTAAAAAATAATTAAAACTAAATGTTGCGGCCATTTCTTGCATGGGTTTTCTCTCATCATCATTACCATCATCATGATTATGATCATTATGATGATCAACGTTACATTTTAAACATACATATGTTCTTGTTTTAAATCTTATATTTTCTTGTATATATTGTATATATATATTTTTATATATATATACTCGTATATATATATATAAATATATATGCATATTTTCATTATGTATATGTAATTGTTTCTCTTTTAGCTAAAGCGTATGAAAATGCAAAGTATTTATTTAACACGTCAACTTTATAAATTAATTATGTATATAGATATAAAGAATAATTGAAAAAAAAACTTAAAATAAATAGTTTAACAAATTTGCTGACTGCGGCAAAAATTGTTTGCATATTTTAATTATATTTTTTAAATATTTGTAATAATTTGTTGTTTTCTTTCATTTGTTTTTTTTTTTTTCTTTTATTAAATTTTTTATTTCATTTGAAGACGCAAATTGTATTTTTTAGGTATTGAAATGTGTTTGGTATATGTTTTTTGTTTTTTTTTTTCGTGTTTTTGTGTTTTTCATTTGTAAATTTTTTATTCATATTTATATATATAATAATAACGCGGCAAATTGTTGGGCCTATGCAAAAATGTTATAAATTTTGTATGTTTTGGTTTAATGCCATTTTGAGAAATGTTTATCCTTTCGCTTAAACATTAGCCTACGAAAAAAGTGTGAGTGTGTGCTGTGTATGTACGTTTGTAAGTATTTCAAAATGTTTTTGCTCACTTTTCTTGTTGTTGTTGTGGTTGTTATTATTATTTGCTTGTTTGCTGTAGGAAAACAGAGGTTCTTCATGTTAATGTTTAGAATTAGAATTAAACTTAGGGGCTAGGCAAAAAAATTGGCTCACTTACATGTTAAATACAATATATATTTCATTAAAGTTCTTAAGTGTTTTGTGTAATTTCTTTAGTACGATATGCGGTTTGTTGTTGTTGTTGTTGTTTAAATTATTGTTATTATTATTATTATCATTACATATTTAAGTTCACAAAAAAAAAATTTACGCTATTCTCTCTCAACTCTCGTTTACGTTTTACCTTTGTTTTGTTTTTAAATGTTTTTAATGCAAATTTAAATTACTATCAGCATGTGTGTGTTGATAGAGACAGCATTATGCTTCTTAAATTTGTATGTTAATTATAGCTTTATGTATATATATATATATATATATTTATATGTATATATTATTATTATGTTATAAATAATAATTTAGTGCATTTTGCATTTATTTTGCTATTTTGTTGATAATGTTTACATAGTGCTATAATTAATTAGCTTACAATTTTTATGTAAATTCAGAATTTACACGATTTATTGTTTTAAGCTTTTGTTTCAAAACAAAAACATTTTTGCTGCTTCTCGCATATATTGTGGTATTTATTTCCTCCCCCCCCTCCTCTCCCACTCTCTCTGTCACTCTTTTTCTTTAAGTTTAAGGTTTCGCTTTTGGCATTTCTTTTAACTATCTTTTACTTTGGGCTTGCATTTTGTTAATATTGTTGTTGTTGTGTTTTGTGGTTGTTTGTTTGTTGTTTTCATAAATTGTTGTTAGTTTTAGTTTCGTTTTCTTGAGATCAAAAGATAGTTAAAAACTTCGGCGTTTGTTCGCTTGTCTGGTTGTGTGCAAAATGATTTCTTCAAACTATAACGTAATGCTGTTCTTCGTCTTCATCTTCCTCTTCCTTTTCGCCTTCTATTATGTATTTATTTTTAAAAACTGTTTTCTGGTTTTCTTTTCGCCTGGCCTTTACATATTTACATAACGGCTTCGATTTGCATGTACTTTATATGTATTTAATATATTTTTGTATATATATGTATGTACACTTAACATAACAATGAGAAAAAAAAAATCATCTACCGCCTTCGCTTACAGTCTTCAAGTAGTACAAAATAATAATTATAATATATATATTTATATATATATATATATAGTATATATGTGTATATATATTTATTGAAAAAAAAAACACACACACACAAAAAGTGTGCTTCAAACCTAAGCGGTTCTGTTTCCTTCAAATGATTCACTTTCTTTCCTTGGGGGCGTGGCGGGGGCGGTGCTGTTGGCAGGAGAAGCCAACCATTTAATACTTATGCGCTGTGCGCGCTCGCTTTCTCTATTCTTCGTTCTTACTTTGCTGCGTCTTTATCTGAATCTTCATCAACTACATAGCATCTCTAAACTTTTAGCTACAACTATTAAAAAAAAAACATTACGCTTAACACGTACTTAGACCAAAAAAAAAAAAAGAGTTAAAACTAAACTCACTACCATTTCAAGTTTTCACTTTTCTTCTTTTCTTGCCACTATATAATAATTCTTTAGAGTTTATATTTAGTTTTTAAATTGTTTTTTTTTTGTTTGTTTTTCTTTTGGTTTTTATTCTTTACGCTACAAACTACGACAAAAATGTTGAGTGGGTTCGGGCCTATCGAAACTTAATCACAAGAATAAACGTTCTTCATTGCACTTGGGGCGGTGACCCCCGACCACTCCCTAATAGTTCCACGCTGCAGTTGCTGCCGAAGCTGGTGCTGGCGTCGCGCCCGCTGCCTGCGCCGGCGCACATCCGTCCTCAGCTTCAGCGCCGCTGCCGGCAACCGGGGCCGAGGCCCCATTACTGCTCAGTCGCTGGACGCGCACCAAACGCAGCTTCTCCTCATTGATCACCTTGATTTTTTTGTCATCGTGCGTCGCATCGCTGCGGCACTCATCGTTCAGAGTCTCCTCATCGTCGTCCTCCTCCTGCTTGATGTGCACCTCCGGCTCCATAAAGCGCTGATCGATCTCCATATGCGCATGCTCGTGCTCGTGATCGCCGTGCTCGCTAGGGGTGTTCTCTGCTTTGGAGGCCTCCACAGCGGCTGCTTCGTCGCGACTGTAGTCTGAGGGTTGCATCACACATACACCGTTGATGATGCGCTCGCTGTCGGCGGCGGCAGCAGCGGCGGCCGCAGCAGCCGCCGCAGCAACGGCTGCAGCAGCAGCTGCACCGACGGGTGCTGCAGCAGCGGGGTTAACCCATTGGGGGGCTGCGGGCTTGCGACGGGAGCTGCGCACCGCATTACTCATGTAGGCAGCTGCCGCTGAGGCGAGAGACTTCTGCATAACCTTCTCGTAGTCGGCAGCGGTGGCGGCGCTTAGCTTGTCGGCATCCGCATCGGGACCCTCGAGGGATTCGTTGTCGCTCATGTTGTGGGCGCTGGCATCTAGCTCTAGATCGTCTTGGTATTCATCGGTGCGCTCCCGCTTTAGTGTCGACATGGAGAGGTCCAGGCCGCTCATTTGCTCCTTGAAGGCCTGGTTTAGGGCTTGCAGTTCGTTCTCACCAGCTGCACCAGCGGCGGCAGCTGCAGCGGCTGCTGCACCTGCGGCGGCGGCAGCGCCTGGTATGCCGGCCAGACTGCGCCCGAGAAGGGCTGCGGCAGCAAAGTACGGTGGGTAGGGTATGGGCGCACCACTCAAGCCCATGCGCTCCTTATGCAGCTCGACGAGGCGCTGTTGCAGCAGAATGCGAAACTGGACGGGATCGAAGGGGGTGGCGTTTGTGTTCTCTCGACTGGGTATGGGATTATCAGCACCAGGTTGGCCATGCGGCACTTGTTGCTTCAGACGCATACGGTGATTGTGGAACCAGTTCGTGATGGTGCGTGTCGCTAGGCCCAGCTCGTTGGCCAGAAACTCAATGGTGCCCACGTTGGGGTAGGGATCTAGGGCGAAGGCGAGGCGGAGAGCTTCCTTTTGTTCCTCCGAGAAGAGTACACGCTGCTTCTTATTTGGTGGTGCCCCACCCACAGAACTGCCGACGCTGCCCGGCCCCGGGCTGCTCGTATAGAAGTCGTTGGTATCATTGCTCGATGTATCTGAGCTGTTGTCTTGCTGATTGGGGCCCGTGGAGCGACGTCTCTTACTTGCCTCACGACGCTCGTTCTTCAGCACCTGCAGCCGCTCAACATTATTGGCATCGCTTAGCCAAAGCTGCATGCGAATAAAGGGTTCTCGACCCTTGATGGAGAGCATGTGCCACGGCTTTGGTTTGCTGAGCAACTCCGACACGGAGCCCTGCGATAGTCCCAATACAGCCTCGCCGAAGATCTTCTGGCCGATATTGTTGGCCAGAAGTGCCTCCTTGATCTTGGTGGTTATGTCGTGAGTGTCAAGATCTTGCGTGAGTGCGGCCATCTCGTAGACGGTGGGCGACATGTGCTGATGAAGGCTACGCATGGCATTGGGCGCATGAGCGCCGTGCACTGGCATCAACATTGGCTTCTTCTCAGAGACACCGGGGACGCCCACAGCACCACTACCGGGCGCTGAGCCGCCAGCACCACCGGGTGCTGCATTCGATGAATTGCCGACTCCAGGCACGCAGCCGCCTCCACCATTGTTGCCAGTTGCGGCTGGCAAGCTGATGGCATGTTGTGGCGGTAGGCCCGGTGAGGTGAGCAGCATGTTCTGGTGATGAAGACCGGCCGCTGCTGCCGCTGCTGCAGCTGCTTGAGCCGCAGCCGCTGCATGCTGATGCTGTTGACTCTGCTGCTGTGCTACAGCGGCGGCTGCCTGCTGTTGCTGCATAGCCGCCGACATTGCAGCCGCAGCATGCATTTGTTGCATGATGTGCTGAGCCTGTGCCGGCTCCTGGAGCTTCAGTTCGTTCATCATCTTCTGCATGGGCAGGGTGGCTTGCATCTTGTTGGCCAGTCCCTGGGGTATCTGTGGACTGCCGCTATAGCTGCCGGTGCGCATCAGTTTCTCGGGTGCGATCTTGTATTGACTCGCGACCAGTTTGTGCACCGCATTCTCATCCTCCAGGAACATCTTCATGCGTATGAAGGGCTCGCGACCCTTTTGGGTCAGCATGTGCCAGGGCTTGGGGCGCGCCAGCAGATCAGAAACAGAGCCCTGCGATAGACCTAGCACGGACTCGCCAAAGAGTCGCTGCGATATGGAGTATTGGGAGAGCGCCTCCTTGACGCGTCGCACAATGTCTTCAGTGTTCAGGTTGTTGAACATGTCGAATTGCTGTTGGGTAATCGGTGGCAGCACCGCTTTGGTGGGTCGCTGTGGCGTCGAATGGTGCGGCGTGACTGGTGGCTGTGTGATAAGCGAGTTTGTGATGCTGGCCATGCGTTGCAATGGACTGGCAGTGGCGGCGAACTCATCGCCTTGACTGAGAGCCGGGGGTAAAATGGAATTGCTGAGCGGACTGGGAGCCGCTGAGTTGCTTGTGTGCTGAGCCGATGCGTTGCTGCTGGGTGGTGCTGGTGGTGCGGGTGTGCTGCCACCACCTCCGCCACCGCCATTTCCACTCGTCACGCTTTCCGATTTGCGGGCCATTAAGCCGAAGGCTGCGGCGTTAGCTGCGTTTGCGACACCTCCAGCGGCATGACGCTCATCGTCGCGTTCACCATCCTTGGAGCTTTGCGAGTGCTCCAGTGATCCGCGCTGTCCATTCAACTTGATGTCCTTGAGCATATCCTTGCCGGTGCCGGCACCACCGCCCAACGACAAGTCCTGAGCGCCATTCAGCACCTGCTGCTGCAGTGCCATCAGGCTGGAGAAGTTTGGAAAGCTGGCGGCGGCTGCCTGCTGTTGTTGTTGCTGCTGCAGCTTGGCGATCTCACGCTCGAAGGCGTGTCGCATATTCTCATCGGCGGCCATTGCCGTGGGGAATGTATTCGGCGCACTGGGCATGCCGGCGGCGCCACCAAAGAAAGGTGACAGCAAAAAGCTGCAGGGTTAAGAGAAAGACAAACAGAGAGAGAGAGAGAGAGAGAGAGAGAAAGAAAGGGTAGGATTAGGTAAAGTACTTCTGCTTTTCATTTAAAATGTATGTTGTGTGGTACTTACCCGGGGAAGGCTTCTCGTGGTGTGCGCGCCATGATCTCTTGATATAGACGCGTCATCTTGTCCTGGGCAAAGTCCTCTTGTCTAAGTCGCTGCTCACGCTGCGCGGCCGCCACTTCGCGCTGCTCGCGTTGCTGTTGCTGGGCGGCTGCAACGGCTGCTTCGCGTTGCTGCTCGCGTTGCTGTTCGCGCTGCGCATGATCGACATGCTGCTGCTTCAGCTGATGGTCCACCTTGAAGAAGGGTGAGGTGCAGGTCTGCGGTGGCGATTTGCTGTCCTCGTTGCTGTGCGTGTCATCGCCACCGTGGGCGCTGGCGCGTCTTTGATGCTCCTGTTGCGCCTGCGCGTTACTCTTCATCAGCGATGAGGCTTCGCTTAGAATGTGCGCAATGCGGTCCTCGGACATGGAATCATCACCACCAGGGCCGCTGCCAACGCTTCCGCGTCCCGCATACTGTGGCAGTCCAGAATCTGTAATGGGAGAGCGGAATAAAAGGAGCGATTAGTTCGGTTCGGTTTGGTTCAGCTCAGCACATTTCGGTTGGGTTGGGTTGGGCTATAAAGCGCCGACTTCCATTAAACGTTGTAAACTTTATAATTTCTGCGTACATTGCCTTCTGGCTCGCCTTTATTGAGGGCCTATTGATATCCCGTCCATGCTATGGGCCAGCAGACCGGCCTGCCTGACTGTCTGAATGTCCAGCCAATTAAGCCATAAAACGTTCAAAAAGCCAGCGAACTGATGCACAAATTTGTGGCCATAAAACGCAAAGCTTCAAAACATCATAAAGTTTTTTTTTTTTTCGGTCAAACGCGTTGCAGCTACATTTCCCCCCTTCCCCCATAAACCTTCACAGAATACCACTCCCCTCCCACGCCACCGACTCAACTCTTGCTTGAGCTCAATTATAACACCATTTGATTTTCAATCAAACAACAAAGCACAAAAACAAAGCGCACGCCGCCGCGCACCAACAAAGCGCGTCCATGAGGCGCTCATGTCGCGTTCTATGCAATCCAAAACAACAACAACAACAACAACAACCACATCAATGGGCGCTTCAGCAGTCAAAAAAGCTCGTCCAAAAAACGCCTGCATAGAAATTTCCATTAGAGATGGTCAGCAATACTTATTCGCCTATTACCCTATAGTATGTATTTAATTTCGAATTGTTTATCTGAGTCGTGCAGTTTATTCCATGTCGTGATTTCATCGTGCAGAGACATATTTGAATGCAGACCCAAAAAAGGTGTGGCAGGATGGGTTTTCAAAAAGATTTCTACAAGGATAGACAATGTGGTTTTTAAGAAAGATTTCCCGTGATGAAGTCGTAGAAACTCTAGTTAAAAACTAAGCTAAACGTGCTTTGCGTCCGTTTCTGAAACAGTTAGTAGGACTCGTGCGTGAGTCACGAACTTTATGAAAATCTTGTATATGTATCTTCTTAAAGAAACAACTAACATCAAAGAAATGGGGGAAATTCTGATCAAATATAGAATTCCCTGATGAAAGGGCTCTGCAACTCCATGTGGTCCTCACTAGACATAATCACGCGCCCATCTCTAGGCCATGCAATGGTCAACCACAACTGAGCCTTAAATAGTTCGATGCAAGCGTCGCGCTAATTTGGCACGCGCCGTCGACTACGAAGATGCTGCTGCTGGCCGTATCCACCAAATAGCAGGACTGTGGATATGGCACAGGGTCGGGGAGGCTATAGCTCGAAAACCGTCCACAATGTAGGGCTGTGTTGTTGTTGCTGTTGTTGGCTGGTTGGTTAGTTGGATGGTTGGTTGGTTGAATAAACGAAATGAATAAATGAATTCAATTGCAATTGAAAAAGCACATGAAAAAATTGTTTTGCAAAAATTCAATTGAATTTTCTTGTTTTCGTATTTTTGTTGCTGTTGTTGTTGTTGTTGTTGTACTTCTGGTTGTTGTTGTTGTTGTTTTGGTTGTTGTTTTTCGTCATCTATCCATCCAACCATGGGTCGTCGTCAAAAAACAAAATAAAAAATAAAATCAACTGCTAAATTGCAAAATAATCACACAAGTGGTTCTTTGTACAATGTGGTGGCGACAGCGACTGGCTATAGAATTTCCTGTGCCATGTCCTGCGGCATGTTTGTGGCTGCCAGCAAACATCAATCAGCACGTGCGGCAGCAGCGGTGGCAAGGGCACGAAATAACTGAAAATCGCTTTACAATTGCCAAGCATAATCGATGCCCAAAGGAGCAAACACTTTTTTTCTGTGCTCTCCTCTGCTGTGCTGTGCTGTGGGTGCGGGCAGGATGCGGCTATATCCTATATGCTAACCAAAAAGACGACAATCGCATCAGGAATGACGATGACGATTGCTGGCGGAAACGGAAATCAACACATGAATGACTAATGTTTGGACACCAGCTCTTCGAGCCAAGCAACTAACAAGCCCACCAATAAACCACTCCCGGTGCAGAGCCATTGTGGGTCCAACAACCAACCATTCAAGCGAGAGAATTGGCGAATTGAAAAGTGCGCCATTGAAATACAATAAACCAAGAGATAGACAAAAGCGATAAAAGGCTAACTACAATAGATCGCTGCATGGTCGGTGGTCGGTGGCCGGTGGCCGGCAGTCTGTGGCTCCACATGTAACAACATCCTGAGCGGCGCACTTTTATTTCTTTCTAGCATTCATTTTTTTCCCTCCGGATTTCCATTTCTGCTAACCGAATGATTTTTTCAATATTTTTTCATTTGACGTTGCCGCTGCCGCTGCCCATCGTCGCTTCATTTGGGGATTACAAAGTGTTTTTGTGTTATAAAGTCGAAGATGACATTGATGACACCTGGACGCCAAGCAGACCAGGTCAGTAATAGAATAGGACTCCACTGAACAGGACAGGACAGAATGGGCGGCATTGGATTGGTGAGTAGTACCGTGCCAGACTCAGACAGCTTAAGCGGTCTTTAGTCTCACACACACACACAAACACACACACATGCACGGCTATAGAGAACTTGAAATGAAACTCTTGCACAAGCTTTAAGCATTTTTAGTTAAGATTTAATACAAAGACACATACTTTCTACATTTTGGGGTACTTTGAATAAAGTCTCTTCAATTTTTGAATGTACGTTTCAAACGCTTAAAGTCCTTTTTATATTTAAACTTTCATAAAGAATATTGTAAATATTAAATGCTGAAAATATTAGTAACTTTTAGAACTTTTAAAACAGAAAATTTAAATTCAAAATGTTTGCTGCTTGGATTTGATTTCAATTCTCAGACGTTCCAGCAAGGCACTGTAAATAAATATGAAACGGGCACACTAAAAAGGAAAGGGAAACAAATAGCGTAGAAATGCTTGAAATTTCGCTTCAACTTTGCAAGAAACATATCATAATGGAAATCAAGTTTTTTCGATGTACTTGTACTTTAAAGCAATAAATGTGGAACTCTTTCTATCGTTTCATTATTTGTAATGCATATGAGAATTATGATATAGAATACAATAGAAATTAGGCAGCAGACGAAGCTATATCTCTTCGTTCAAAACCAATTAAATGCATCAACAAATTAATCAGCTTTATGAAAGACTTGGCATTAACTTGGCTCTCAAAGCTCACAAATAAGATGGCCAACTTCTCCAATAGCTCTCATCAATGAACAATTTAAACATGTATAGAGTATGTCTATGTTTGTATCAATAATGAGAAAAATTAGTTTTAAAAAGTAACGCTTTAATCAAACTAATATCTAGATGTATGAGAATCTCACATTTCAAACAATTCAATCACTGAGCGCACTTAAAGGTGGTGGGCATTTAATTTGGAAAAAACAGATCAGGTTGGGGACTCAAAATCGGGCAGACAGCGGCCAGATGGAGGGAGAGACAGACTTTTAAATAACGCAGAGCCCCAGCTTCGAATAACCTGAAGAGACCAATTTCGAGTTCATGGCAATGCCCGCCACATACGACTTTTTACTATGCCATATAGATATAGATATTCGTACATATGCGAATATATTTGTGTATATTTTATATTTGTCGTTACCGTTAGCCACTTTTTTGTCTGGCTTTGTTCGTTTGTCGTCGTCCGGTTTCCATTTTTTTTGTTTTTTTGTTTTTTTGTTGACTTGCCATTTTTTGTGTTTTGTTTGTAATTTATTAGAGAGGAACATGTTGACCAAATTGTCATTCAAAAGGATTTGCGTACAACATGCGCCGAAGCTGGCATTATAAAAATATAGATATGAGCTATCATTTCTATACAAATAGACATATGTATATTTGTATATTGTATATAGGTAGGTAGGTAGGTAGGTAGGTAGGTATGAGCCCAAACTCTTGACACATTTGCTTGATGAATATTTTTTGCCTTTTATAACAAATCAGCAGACGAGCAAAACCCTTTTTTTTGTTCTTCTGGTGGACCAACTGAGATGGTATGGCTTAGTAGTGGCCAGTCGGAGGGCCTCAGTCTTTGCTGTCCTTCACACATAACTGATATATATGTATATATAGATATTTGTTGTTGTTGTTGTTTGCTGGCTTTTATTTTTTCTGCTCTAATACAATAAATATTTGCCAGCCACACACAAATATGAAATAATACTTCAACATGTCGCGCCAGTCGATATGCAAAAGGGTTCGACCGGAGTGTGGGACTGAAGTGGGTTTTTATGGGTGAGAATGAAGGGTGTATGGTGGGGGGGGGGGGTAGGTGGTGTGATTGCTGCATGGTAACGGTAACGGTAACGCATTGAACGGAACCCATTGAAATTGGCACACGCACGCAATTTGCATTAATTGCAAGAAAAATTTTCTAATTAAAATGCCAGTCAGTGAAGAACGAGCTGTCAGTTGTGTTTGTTTGATTGTTGGGGGACGGAGAGAGATGGGCAGAGGGGAGCAGCAGAGCAGAGTGTTGCAGAGAGTTGGGACTGCTTTGTATTAGCACAAGTGTCAATTAAAAACGATAGGATGGCTGGCAGTTAGGCAGTTAGTCAGGTGGGCCGTAAGGCAGAAAGGCAGACGAGCTACTAAAGGAGTCTCCTCATCGTCCACATCATCACAATCATCATCACCTAAGAGAGTTTATTTCAGGGCGGGCCTTACTTCTAACTGAACTGAGTGCAAACGTAGCATGGCAAATGAAGAGGCAGTGGCAGACATCAAAAGGCAATTGGCAAAATGCAAAAATATTGAAAATTCAAATGCAAAATTGAGCCAAAAATGCAAAATGCATATTCGCAGACACATGATTGGGATTGGTATTGGGAATGGGTTGTTGGAGTTGAAGCTTGTCTTGCAATTAAAATACAAAATATGGCCAAAGAAATTGCTTGCCAGCTACTCCTTTACATTGCATTTTTTATTTTTTATTTTTGGTTTCGTTTCGTTTTTGCTTGAATTTGCAGCTGCTACGGAAGTTTGTCTTGCATTTTAATTTGTTTTCGTTGTTCGTGGCTGTTGTCGAAGT